GGCAATAGGCAAATGAAAGCCTGGAGAGCCTGTCGACGTACCCGTGACTTCATTCGCTTCAATGAATTATTACCTACACTGCACTAAGGAAAGCTGCCCTATAGCCTCCATGATTTTTGTTTCGACCGACCTTCTCGAGCTTGCCCCGAATTGGAAAGAACAGGGTTGCTGTTTTTGTCAAGCAACCAGAGTTCTAGACTTCCACAGGAAATCTGGGTAGGTCGTCGTGGATCCCATCACCAGCGTGCTTTTGTACTGTACTGTACATGGTGCTGTGCAGAATAAGGTAGCATAGTACAGGACCTACACGTATACTATCAAAATTCATGGTAATTATCCACATAACTAGTCAATTAGAGGTCATGGAATAACATGGGTCAGATTGCAGTGTCAATCTCCGTATTCCGAGTTTCACCCTTCACTCGGGAATCGGAGATCAGACCGTCAAACTCGTGCTACACCAGAGTCAAGGTCCCTATTGTCGTGTCAACCGTGCATGGCATCGAGAGTAAGCTCATGATATCCTCCCATCTGTCGTCCCCACCCACGCTCCCCCAAGGCGCATCTCAGACTAGTGAAGATCTCCAATCGGTCCTCGGTGCAGTGTCTACACTCTACAGGCGGTCGGAGAGACAGAAATGCCTCTTCGCATTTCTCATATACCTGCCTTATCCCAATCGGGCAGTTCGACAGATGCGCCAAGGTCTCGCAGTGCTTTAGTTCTCCTGATGCTTGGGGAGGGATGGATCCTTTCCTACTTCTTAGGGTCGGAGGGACACGATCCAAGGCCCCGACTCCGCTAAGCGGCCTAAAGGGATCGCCCTTGATGGCGAACAAAGTGCCTGCTAGTGCCATGGTCTGGTTCACATTGAATGTGCACACGCGATTGTTTCATGGCTCACTCAATCCCTGTTAACTGGACAGCTACCCTTGCCCTACTTCCTCAATTTTGTTTTCTACCTATTCTTATCTCATCGAGATCGATCTCTGGCCTGGGATTAAATCTCTCATAGTGCTTGTCGAGGATTAATCTCTCACTCGGTCTGGATTTTTGTAACCAAGTAACCAATAAACTATCAAGAGGGGAAAAATTCTTGTATGCGCTAGATAAATCAAGCCAACAGGGGAGAAAAGGTGAGCATGACTATGGAGAGGTGACAGAGAGATCCGCCAGTTTGACGTGGAACAATGGTGGTGCTATTCCACTAAGTGCCGAATGAAGTGACAACTCAAAGGCTGCTGGATTTATTCATCCGTCCCACTGGTTTGTACGGAGTAGAGGGGGAGGCAACGGGTACTCAAATGACACATTTCAAGGACTATCAAGCAAACTATGAAGCAAACCAGCAGGCACAGAGATCAGGTGTGCGAGAGAGATGCGATAAGCGCATCGGGTGATTTGTCGATTCAACAATCTCACTACTGCATAATCAGAGGACGGCCGACCTGGCAGAAATGCAACTACTGTACTTTTTCCTATCCTTATATTGTACGGTACACAGAACGAATGGCATGTAGCAGTAAGTCATCCACTGCGATAAGCAGGCAGCGATTGTTGCCCCATGTCTTTTCGCTGTCTCTTGGTCCGCCTTCGTCCTAAATCGGCCCCGACATCTTCTTCAATTCAGCATCGTCCTCGTCCTCAGCTTCGGCTGTTGCTCGTACAGTCCGTTACCGGGGAGGGGGGGGGGTCAGTCAGAACCGGGGATCGACCCAGAAAGCTTACTTGCAGGGCCCAATGCTCCTGCGCATTGAGGGAGTGACAGGACCCGAGACAATGGACGTACCATCCGTGAATCTCCATGACCATCACCGCCATCCCTCGAACAATCTTTTTTTTTTGGAAAAAAAGAAAAAGAAAAAGAAAAAGGGAAATGAAAGAAAAAGAAAAAAAGGCAAAATTAAAAAAACAGGGGGTATAAAAAAAAAACCTTTTAGAAGAAAGAAGTCCGGCCGAGAGGGAGATCTCCACCCGCCTTGGCTCCCAATCACCACCTGAGGTTTGATGCCCGTTCCTTGGGCAGCGTCGATCTCCCATGCGTTCGTTTGTCCAGATGGGCACGAGCTTTCCTCCGCCAGCTCCAATTCCCTTCCATTCCTCCCCGGTCCCTTTGCCATCCTTCCGCCACCATATCGCCTTGGACTCCATACTAGGGCCTTCTTCCACTTTGCTCTTGTTGCTCTGTTCTGTTCTTCATCATGTGGGCTTTCAGTCAATCCTTCCCTACTCCACCATGGCATCTTTTTCTCCAGCGTGGACTCCACCTCGTCCCCCTCCCCCGTTTACTTTTAGACTTTTAGTACTTTTCCTGACTTCAGAATTTTGATACACCTGTGGTTCACGGTCTCTTCCATCTTAGGACCTTTGCTCCGTACCTTAAACCATGCTCTGGTACGACTGTCTCCAACCACTAAGCCTATCTTGCAAATCAGTTACCTCCGTCCTAACCATCCCCACCCACTTGCCCCCTCCCCCCTCTGAATACTAGGTAGTTAGTCTTATATTCATGTACTTATAACTATCAGACCACTGCCCTGTCCAAATCCACTCTGTTGCTGCATCCGCTCCTGGCATTCGTTCTTTCTCCGCTATACCGAGACCTGACACTTTCTTTTCACTAATCCCATCTCATCGATCTCTCGTTGGCTGCTGCTCAAGTTCCTTGACTTACTCGACCTTCCTTCAGGTGTATCTCGCTTCACACAAATTCCACTTATCGGGCTGTTCCCATAGCCCGTTTCAAGAGAAGAGCTTCGCCTTTTCTTGAACTTGGCTCAGTTTTCCCAATCAACCTCCAGAAGAGTGCCTCGCCAGAAGAGCAGAAATGAAGAACTCGATTCCATCTGATGTGTGGGAGAGGAAGAAGGCCCTTATCGCTCAGCTGTACAAGGATGAGGAGTGGCCGTTAAAGCAGGTGATTAAGAAGATCCGTTCCGACGACTTCAATCCAAGGTGAGCTTTGTTCTTTACAGTACCCATGAAATAACAATGCATTAATATCGTCATTCATTTTCAGTGAAACCCAGTTGCGGAGCAGATTGAAGAAATGGCGGGTCACCAAGCCTTCCCGCCAAACCCGCAAGAAGTCGAACGATAGTCAACAGGAGGGGTCCGGCGATGACAGTGGCCGTGACGGCGGCTCTCCCAAGCATCAAGCTGCCATTGTCTCTCCCAAGTCTCATGCGACTGCAACGGATCTTTCTGTGTCCGAATCAGATTGGTTCATGAATGGGTCTTTTGCACCACCAGGAGAGCTGCCGGTCACAGTTCCCCTCGATCACGCCTGGGCCCCTGTACTGGCGCAACGATCACCATTGAACCAGCCTAACAAGCACAGGGATCCTTCTCATGCTTCGACGACTTCGCCCTTGCTCGAAGATGTGATGGTCAATCCGACTGCGACTTTGGCACCCACCTTCCAGGAACATGCTTATGGCTTCACCACCGAGTCTTGCATGCAAACACCCGTGTCATCCTCGGCCCCAGCTGCTCCAATTCAATGGTCAATCCCTCAATGGTATTCGATGCCTATGGCGCCTGGCGCCCAATCCCCCCCGATGCCTTTCTATAGCTCAGCACCGTTGAGTCCTCCGATCGACCCTGCTATGCACCTGATGTCTCCTCCCGGGCCACAGCGGGTATTTACACCACAAACGCCACCGACAGCCAATATCTCAAGACAGCAGTTGTCTGACTTACACGACGATGGCGCGCAATTATGGAAGCGTACCATGTCTGCTCCTTATGTCCAGGATACCGCTGGCGGTCATCCGAGACTGGAACAGAAGGGCATGCAGTCGACAGCGTTGGATAGAAAGGCATCACTCCCTTCCAAGACCACAAGTCAGCATAACATGGGCTTAATGACCCCTCCGCCCTCGTTCTTCCCTCGCGGGCAGCATTCCGCGATGTGTGCACCTATCTATACCTATCCGGGGACTGAGACTCTTGTTCATCGACCACCCAGTATCGACTTCTAAGATATTCGGACTGTGGTCAACGTCTCATCTCATTCGAGTTCCGAATGACTTCTGGTGATCTTTCCTATTCCGTGCGGCTTCGCGCATTGGAGTCGCACGTTGTGTCTTCATGGTTACGTTACTCTCTTCTGTTCTGCTGCCCTATTTTTCTGCCTTGCTTTCTTCTGTATTCATTTCGCTTTTTCTCCTTTGTCTATGCGGTATAGATGAGGGATTGGGCAGTTGGATCGGTATCACGTCTACAAGGGAATCCGATACCTGGCGTATCGGCTGGTAGTACCGATGCATGAGGTGAGGTGTACAGGTTCAAATGATATCCACTACGGGTCAAAGGAGTTCGGGGGCGCACGTATCGAGGGGTTTCTCGACAATGGGACTCTGGGATGGAAGTCTCTTATTTCGCATTAAATGGGTCATATATACTAGGCCTGCTGGTGTACCTTGATTTTCTTGGGGGGAGGAGGGAGGAGATCTGCAGCCTTGACGGCCAGACAAACGCCACTATGAATGTTTCATTATGTGATGTATGTATGTACTGTACGCAATCTACTTAGTTCTTAATCTAGCGAGCTCTAACTTCCGAGAACTCCAGCTCTATATAATCTTCTTTCCCCTAGAATGTTGCCCTGTAAAACCAATCGGCAATTTGTCCTCGAAAATTCTCGCCAAGATGCTGGTACGGTATGGAATAGTGCAAGATGCCGCCGAGCAGGCCTGTGCTGGAACAATATCCGAAGACGGACCTCGGCACATCCAGCCCAGCGATAGTGGGGAGAGCCCGAGCTGAGCTGTCTCTCACCTTCCTCCTCCTCCTTCTTCCGCGCCCTTCTCTCGTCTGCAACTCACCTTGCCTGGACTCAAGTTTCCATTTGCCAACAGAAGAGTATAGCATACAAATTAGCGTTATTTTGGCGATTGAGATTGCTTCCAGGTCCCGGTTGCTGGTTATTACCGAACACACCTCTGTCACCCAAATAGTACTAGTGACGCATCAAGAATTTAGCCATTCGACTACCATCATGAGAGCCATTCAGGTCACCGAATATGTGAAGGTATATGAGCCCAGTCTCTCATCAAGCGCTCGTATAACTTTACTGACTGCCAACAACCAAGGGACCTCTGGAACTCGGAGTTGTTACACTTCCTACCCCTTCCCCGTCTCCGACAGACTACCTGATTGAGATACACTCGGCGGGTACCAACTTCTTCGACATCCTACAAATTCAAGGCAAATACCAACATCAGCCTCCCTTACCCTGGGTCGGAGGTTCAGAGTTTGCGGGTACAGTGCTGGCCGTGCCCACCTCTCCTACAACGCCGCCACGGTTCGCTGTTGGCGATCGAGTCTTCGGCGCAACGCAGGGTGCCTACGCCACTCACGTCCTCGCTCCCGAACCATCCTTGCTACCTATCCCTAGCGGTTGGACTTTTGAGGATGCTGCTGGCCTCTTTGTCACGGCCCCGACATCCTACGGGGCCCTCGTTCACCGGGCAAACGTCCAGGCTGGTGAGTGGGTGCTGGTGCATGCGGCCGCCGGCGGCGTTGGTCTGGCCGCCGTGCAGATCGCCAAAGCCAAGGGGGCGACGGTGATCGCGACGGCCAGCACAGAGCGGAAGCGGCAGATCGCGCGACAGTTCGGCGCGGACCACGTCGTCGATTACCGCGACAAGAGCTGGCCGGACCACGTCAAAAAACTGTGCGCGCAACACCGTACGGGAAACGGCAAGGTGGGCGTCGACATTGTCTATGACCCTGTAGGACTGATTGAGGCCAGCCTCAAGTGTGTCGCGTGGAACGCGCGCTTGCTGGTGATCGGATTCGCGGCGGGCAAGATCGAGAAGGTCGCGTTGAACCGGGTGCTGCTCAAGAATGTCAGTTTGGTCGGATTGCACTGGGGCCAGTACGCCCAGTTCGAGAAGGAGACGGTTCAGTCCGTTTGGGCCGGCATCTTCGACCTCGTCGCGCAAAGGAAGTTCAGGGGCACTGCCTTCAAGGACGAGACCTTCGTGGGCCTAGAGAGTGTTCCCCGCGCATTGCAGGCGCTGGGTGGAAGAGAAACCTGGGGAAAGGTGGTGGTGAAGGTCATTGATGATGAGGCCGAAGCGGGCAAGAGTAAGCTCTGAGTGCAGACCACCAGCCGAAGTCCAGTCGTCTCTACCGTACATTACAACTTAACCAGAGGTGAATAGGAGGTATATCTTGGGAGCAATATGAGAAAGGCTATGTAAATTCTTGATAATAACTATCTGAAGACGGGTGTGTGGTAATGTAGGTGCGCAAGGAGTCATGCTCTCGTAGGAAGTGTAACACGCAAGCAACATGAACTATGAAGGCCCTGGGGGCTTTCTCTAGCAACAATTCATCTGATATTTCAGATGAGGGAGCAAGAGTCCCAGCAATCCAGCTCCAGTCGGCCACAGCCACAGGACGTGACATGCGATGACTGTTCTTCAAGAGAGTCCGTAGGAGATGCTCAAACGCTCTGTTTCAGCCCAGAGGCGTGAAATACAACGATCGATGCGAGACAGCTGGATTGCAAAGTTGCAGATATAGTACAAGCTAGAATTCCCCTTGCTCAATCGGCTACCAAACACCATCAGGCGTTCAGTTTCGAAGCTGGGGGTTTGTGGCGCCGCACGTTGCGACAACGATGAGCCGAACTTGTCTTCAAACTGCACATTAACAGTCTTTTTGAGATAGTCAGTAGGCAGATATTATGGTTTGATGTAGTATAGACGTATGACATGTCGCATGGCACCACCAATGGTCGAATGGTGGAATGGCGGAGAGGGCATGAAGGCGAGAAAACGCGATGCTCGTGCGAGTGATTGGGTCTTTATTTTTGTTGTTGGTTGGTTTGAAGGGAGGGCTCGCTTAAAGAGGTGAGTCAGCAGGCGACCGGGCCGTCTATCCGATTAGAGATAAGGTATGGAAAACATCCTGACATCAGCAATCATCATTTCCCCTCTGAACCAAGATTTGATCACAGTCCCGGTTCCACCGATGTGGAAAGCACGGGAAATAAATAGGCAAGTAAAGTGGTTAACCACCTTTAGTACCCGTACTATGTACTAAGCAAGCCCCCTTGGAGGCAGGGTGATACCTGATTGCTACTATTAGGCTCAAAGATCAACCTGGCGTCTAAACCAAGGTACTGTACCTTAGTCAGTACTAAGTAATTTCCTATGCACCTGTACAAATGCTTAATTCTACACAACTAGCAGGGTCTTTCTAATATGGTTCATACATGGATGATCCCTTCCATGATTCTCGACAAGCATTTCTTAGTACAGGCGATTATCCACTAATAAATGTGGAATAGGGCTGTAGTCATGTTGACTTTACTGTGAATCAATCCTCGCCCGAGAGACATTAACTACGTCATTATCATCATCATGGTGATAGCAAATGTTTCGCACCCTCCACTCCTCACCAAAAAGAGAAAAAAAAAAAAAAAAAAAACACCCCCCGGTGTGCAAATGTAATGTAGTGTACAGACATACATGCATATAAGCTTGAGTATTATTAGCGCTCGGCTAGCCGGTTTCTAACGGTCAGGCTCGGCGTCTTGCATCATATGCCCAGCTATGTTAAGCTTCCCTTATCACCCAGGGTCAACCACAATCGTAATTACTCCTAAGCTGATCTCCAACTCTCGAGTCTTCCTCAATGGCCAGGAGACCTTCGATCTTAAAACCCTCACGACTGTCATTTCCCCTGTCACCACAGTGTCGCCGTCTATTCTCCCAGCATACACCTAAGATGTCTGCATCAAACAAGCATTCCAAGTTCAACCATCTGCCCCGCGCTGCCGAGGGCCCCTTGGTGTGTCCTCATGAGGTATCGCACGCTCTTGGCTTATAATGACATCGCGCACTACGCATCTAGCAAGTTGAGGATGCTGACTCTGCTGGGTAGGGTAGAGACCTCCTAGAGTCCTGTCAGTTCAACAAAGGATCTTCCTTCCCGGAGGACGAACGTCGGGCATTCAAACTACTAGGCCTGCTCCCCCCCAACGTTCAGACGTTAGAGGAGCAGGTCCAGCGAGCCTATGAGCAATACAGCAGCCGGGAAAGTGATATCGCGAAGAACACCTTCATGGCTAGTATGAAGCAGCAGAATGAGGTTCTGTACTACAAGGTAGGGTCCCAAAAATTCAATCCCATTCTCGTGTATCGATATATCTCAATCCACGTGAGCAACATCATTGGCTAATGCTCAAAAAGTTATTGGAGACTCATCTCAAAGAAATGCTCAGCATCATATACACGCCAACTGAAGGCGACGCGATACAGAACTATTCGCGTCTGTTCAGGAAGCCCGAAGGGTGCTTCCTGAATATCAAAGAGCAGGAGAAGATCGAGGAGTGTCTTTCCAATTTTGAAGGCAGTGAGGAGATTGACTATATCGTCGTCAGTGACGGGGAGGAGGTAAGTAGATAGACAGCAGCTAAAGGTGGCCAGAACACGCAACTGACATCTATTTCAGATTCTGGGCATTGGAGACCAAGGTGTAGGTGCCATTTTGATCTCAGTCGCCAAGTTGGCATTGACAACCATCTGTGCGGGAATCCACCCTTCGCGGCAGCTTCCAGTCGTCTTAGACTGCGGGACCGATGTAAGTCGATTCCATTATCGCCCAACAATATACTTATATCGGCGCCAGAATGAATCCTTGCTCAAGGACGATCTATACCTGGGACTTCGACAGCCGCGCGTCAGGGGAGAAGAGTATGACCGGTTTGTGGAAAATTTCGTGACAGTCGCAAAGAAGAAGTTTCCAAAGGCATATATTCATTTGTAGGTCGGCATCGTCTGCAGGACTTGGGCTAGGCTGACCGTCTCTTCAGTGAGGACTTCGGCCTCCATAACGCCAAGCGCATCCTTGACAAGTTCCGCTCGGAGATCCCATGCTTCAACGATGATATTCAAGGGACGGGGTGTGTGACCTTGGCTGCCTTGATGGCTGCATTGCATGTCAGCAAGGTCAAGATGGAGGATGTGCGGATCGTGGTTTATGGGTCCGGGTCTGCTGGCACAGGCATTGCCGCGCAAATCGCTGACACGATCGAAAATGAGGCGGGCAAGCCAAAGGAAGAAGCTAGGAAGCAGATATGGTAAGCACTGTCCGGCCGACCACGCTGTTTGTGTTATTATCGCGATGTACTGAATCACGAGCCATATGCAGGTGCCTTGATAAGCCCGGGCTTCTTCTCAAGTCTTTGGGAGATCAACTGACACCAGCCCAAGTGCCATTTGCACGGGACGACGACGAATGGTCTGGAGAAAAGTCCCGAGACTTGCTGGCCGTGGTGAAAAAGGTGCAACCGCACGTTTTGATTGGGACTTCTACCCAGCCTAAAGCTTTCACGGAAGAGATCATTCGCGAGATGGCCAAGCACGTCGAGACCCCGATCGTGTTCCCTCTCAGCAACCCCACACGCCTGCACGAAGCGTGTCCTGAGGACATCAATCGTTGGACAGATGGCGAGGCCTTAATGGCTACCGGCAGTCCATTCCCACCTGTTGAACGGGACGGAGGGAAGTACGAGATTGGTAAGGAGACAGCCCAGTAATTGACGGATACGATATCCCAAGCTAATGAGTTTGACTATTGACGCGATGCAGCCGAATGCAACAATTCTACTTGCTTCCCCGGCATCGGACTGGGAGCGGTTCTCTCGCGGACCCGCGTTTTGTCAGACAAGATGCTTGTCGCAGCAGTCAAAGCATTGGCTATGCGGTCGCCGGCGCTGCAAGATCCCAAGGAGCCACTTCTCCCCGACGTTCAGGATGTGCGAGAGATTAGCATCGATATTGCCAAGGCGGTAATCAAGACCGCAGTGGAGGAAGGGCACGCTGAGGAGACGGGAATTCCTACGGACGATCAGGAATTGGATGAATGGGTTCGGATTCAAATGTGGGAGCCGAAGTACAGACCGCTGGTGCGACCGCACCAACAAGAGTGAATTGATGGGTCTGAATGGGGAGGAGAGAAAGTTGAAATTTTCTCAATACATATACACTACTTGGTGCATAGTAGTACTAAATGGTGACTTTCAAACCACTATCTATGTGACACTACCTTATGCGTAGGTAGGTATAATTATGTATTCGGAATCGGATGCCACGGCATAGACATAGACATAGACCATTCCATCCATCCTTATTGGTTTTCAAAGTTGCGGTACACAAGTCCGCCATCATTGTGGATGACCTCATTTGCACATTGACACCTCAATTTCTTTGTCTATGCCCTTTTGTGTGTGTGTGTGTGTGTTTTTCTCGCTCTTCCTTTTTCTTAATCCTGCTCAGTATAATAGAATCAGGAACAGCAACCCTCAAATCTAACAAAGAACTCTTCGAGGTCATCAACATAAAGAGAACAAAGCTCTTTGGGTTGGAGACAAGGGAAGTCAGGCTCAACTTCCTTCCTTCCATTAGACTTTCCTGTGCCGAAAATGCCAAGTGAGACATTCAACATCTGTAATCTCTTCGTCATCGAGGATCTTACTCTCTACAGCATTCTCTTTTCAGGTTTCTCATTAGATTCCCCCCGAACAACATCTTGATCACCTTGCAGAACACAGAACTTGGTATCGCATTTTCATAATCATGAAATTTATCTGGTTGACTACCCTGGTGATTCTTCTCCAGGCCTCAGCCACCATATCACTGGCTCTCCCGTCCTCCGCTCCTGGGTCAAGAGATCAGTCTGGCTATACCTCAGAACTTGCAAAGCGTCGCGGTGGGGGAGGAGGGGGAGGTCGTGCAGGGGGCAGCAGTAGTGGGGGAGGCAGTGGTGGCCGCACCGGTAGTAGCGGAGGGAGCAGCAGTGGAAGCAGTGGAGGTAGTGGAAGTGGTTCGAGGACTGGGTGAGTGTTTAATGATGTGAAGACCCTTTCCGTGCGCAGACAAAGCTGAGTGACTCTTTTTCTGTTCTGTCAGTTCCTCGACCAACGTTGGAGGCTCAACTCGCAGCGGTTCAGGGAGACAACCAGCCTACGGGGGCGGCAAATATTATGCTGGCGGCGCGACCGCTCCCTATACTTCGGGTTCTCGATCGCGAACGGGCATCACGCCCTATCTGTTGCCTGCGACTGGTCTGGCGTTCTTCGGGTTCTGGGCATACAACGTATACGCCTATCCATACCCCCATCATTACTATTATGTGAATCAGTCCTCGCACCGCAATGAGTCCATGCCCGTGGTCTGTCTATGCCAACAGTACCTGGAATGTGGCTGTGATGACAACTCCAATTCCACTTACTATGAGTCGCTGTTTAACGGTAGCCAACCAACGAACACAAGCATCACGCGGGTTGCCAATGTGAATGGCACCGACTCGATCTATATCAATGGTACTTTACCCAATGGGACCACCGTCGCCGATTCCTCTGCCTCATCCGCCGCCGCAGCTGGACCAACAAGCCAAGTGAGCCTTGCCATCGGGTACTGGACCATCGTTGCGTTGGTGGTGGGCCAGGTGTGGGCTTTGTGATGAGGGGTTTTGCTTTTGTTTATCCAGTCTCTTGTTATAGATCTACTCCGTAGAATACCCCTTCTCTTGTTTGCAACTACTAAGTACTTTTCTGGGTACGTACAGTCTTTTTTTTTTCTTATTATTCCCCTCCCCCCCCCTTTTCTTTTTTTGTCACTTGATCCAGTCTTCGAGCCTAGACTTCACCGCTCGAGTGCTTGCTGCAGGGCTTGACCGACTCCACTGCGGCCAGACCAAATTAAGGCCCATGGCAAACTTCACTTGATCAATCTCATTCGCTATTCTCCAACCAATGTTTCATCACTCTCGGCCGTCATTGTCTCAGGTTGAGGGTCTACAGACACCAATCTTCTCAACACCAGGAAAATAAAGCCCTTCAGCCTTCCCAGACCTACATGTTTCTTGCTAGTCGACCACTGCTCGCTGCTATTTCCTTTTCCCATCTGATGATGCCGGGCTTTGAAACCTCTACTACATACTTACGGTAGCGTGGACGGCATCGTAGATGGCAGTTGTTGTAATGTGGATACAACTTGGGGTCGAAATCCTGAATTGATCGATGCTGGGGCCTAATTAGTTGTCTAGGATCCTTCCTGTTAGCCCCCAGCCCTAGAAATATGCATACTATTGCGTGGACTCTTACAATATGACTGAACAAATCCGGACCCAGACGGCATTTGATCAAAGAAAGCCAAGCAGTGAGTGGGCACGTCAGCCATCCCATCTTCTTCCCCCCTTTTCCCTCTTATTCTGACACTCCTGCCCTGTTTCTTCTTTCTTGTTTGTTTTCTTCTGCAGCTTTTATGGATCGCGATAGTTACAGCAGTGCTGTCATTCATTCCCTGCGTTGATTGATTTTAGAATTCCTTCATTTTGTCTCCGTATACAAGAGCAGTCCCTCGTTTGCAGCTCCATCCATTCTTTTCGCCGTGTCTCTATTTCTTCCGCTTGAATTGTGATACTATTGCACAAACTATACGAATATACATTCCAGAGTACCTTCAAAGCACACTGCATTGGCTCGTCAAGATATTCTACTGTTCCAGACTTCACGCCATTGGGAAACTGTTGGCTTGAATCAGCTGGTCTCATTCCCCGGTCACTTCCAGTCCTCAGGATAAATCGAGCGCAAGAGAGAAACACACCTCGATCGAATATGTATATCTCGAACGCTCTGCTGATTGCCTGCGCGGCCTACGCACCATTTGCTACCGCAGCGGTGCAGGCCATACCTGCCGCCGCTGCCATCACAACGAGCGCTGCCTATCCCGAAGTTTCCTCTACGACGCCCACGCTGGCTTCCACCTCGACTACTTCGTCCCCACTTATTTTAAGCAGCAGCAACATCGACGCGACTGCCACTACCGCCAGCTCGGAAGTTCACTCCGCAAGTTTGTCGAATTTTTCTAGCCACACGCCAACTTTTAGCCGTCACTTCGCCAGCTCTGCTATCGCCAGCTCTGCTACCGCCAGCTCCGTGCGTGCTAGCTCTTCTGTGGCCGCCAGCCCTTCCTTCACTAGGTCCTATATCACCAAGACCACCACCCTTCCCACTCAAGGTGCTTCCGCCGACACAAAATCTGAATCCGGATCCTCTAATTCCGCCGGCGCAGCCGAGGCGACTGAGACCAGCGCTGCGGTCCCATCCACCAAATTATCGAGCGGCCTTGCCGCTGGTGTCTTGGCTGCCGTTGGTCTGATCATGCTTTGAGCTCGTTTGGCGCAACTGTCTTCCTTGGATGTCCGAGCTCAGTGTCTCGTCCTCTGCTTGAACACAAATGGCCTCTCATTCCCTCTGACAGGGGGTACTAGCTACGGTGGCGATGACAGGAGGCCGTGCGGCTGTTCTGTCTACCAGTTCTGATTTCCACCGCGCTATTGTAGAGCTCATACTTGTGATGGAAAGCAACAAGCAATTCAATATTCGAGGTTTGATGTATCAGCCCAGTGTTGGCAGAAAATTTACTGTAATATTCCCGAGCAAGAGCTGAGCCTTGACCAGCTTTTTGCCTAGCTTTTCACTTCTTCTTGCGGTTTCAGTGATGCAGTCCAGGTTGCATCAAGTAAGTTGCCACGACGGGAAAGGATATATGTACTGTTGACAACGCAGATATAATGAAAGCTAAGATTAGGCTCGTCGAGCTTTCATGGAAATATGCACGAAGGCATAGACAGCATTAACATAGTGTACAGTTGCAGTAATGTTGTTGCGAACAAGTGCATCAGGCACGGGGAGAACAGCTTCTAGTTGCGGAATGTTGCCTCGTATCTTCAAGATTTAGTTAGCACAGAAAGACAGAAGGGAAGTGAATGCACTGCGTACCTCTTTCCTCTGAAAGCCCAGACACCCCAGTTGCCACACGAAACATCATGAGGGTCCAAGTCATTGAGATCCCAGCGTAAGCTGCGGAAAATATTCTCACCGGGCTCAAGCAGAATATCGAATTCGCCGGCGCATTTCTCATGCACCCACTTGATATCCCGTTCCATATCCCACTGCGTGTAGCCTGTGCTGATGATCGGCACCTTGGTCTCCAGTAGTTGCGGGAGGGTTTCTTCCCACTCGTGAGAGCTTGCCGGGTGTCCGAGTCCGGGATGAAACAGCATGATGCAGTCTAAGTATGGATCGAAAGGTTGGAAGTAGTTGGCTTTGTACATTGTGTGGAAGTAGTCAACGTAGGTCGTGATTTTGAATTGACCTCCAAGTCGGTCTTCGACGACACCCCCGAATGGGTTGCCAGGTGTCCGCTCAGGCAGCGGGAACTCGGCGTCGCGGTTCGTCATACTCTCCGGTCCGATGAAAATGAGATGAATGAGAGAGCGTGGGAAGATGTAGCTGAGCTGCAACCAAACCTCTCGCGGCAAGGAAGACTCAGCCCGGGCCCCTAGGATGAAAATGCGGACCGGGGGTGCCTTCAGGCGTAATCCTCGAATATCGACACCCTCTCCTGTCTTTTGAGGGTGTAAAGTGTATCGCAACGCTGCGACTCCCAGTTAGGCAAACATCTCATAGAGCATGTGAGGGAAAGAGACGAGATAAAGAAATCGCCGTGATGACTTACCACTAACACTTTTAAGCCCCTCCACTGTAAGCCTCCCCCCCTTTCGAACATTGTAGGGACTCAGTTCATGCAAAACACTCGCAAGTGTAAGCGGATAGGTCAGCATCCGGGTCACTTGCCGCATGCTCCGGTCATCGTTGATCGCCTCAAACTCTCGTGTATAAAGAAAAGTGTCCCAGTTCGTCATGTTGATGACGAAATTATCATCTTGAAGGCCTGGGTAGGTGAACTCCGGGAAAACCCGCCCAGAATGCAAGTCATGATCGTCCTCATTGATCTGTCGGATGGTCTCGCAGACCTCCAAGTGTGCTTCAAAGTCATCCATCCAATGTCCCTCCGAGCAATAGATCGGCACGCCGCAGTCTGGACATTCAAAGTGAGAGTGTGCCGGCGGCAGATTCGAGCTCTGTGGGCTCTTGCGCGTCTCTGGGTCATGAGGAGAGACAGGCAGTCGGGTCTGCTGGTGGCTTGGATGTGGGCAGAAGGCGTTTTGTTTGATGAAAGCCGCACGCTGTCGAATGGCCGCTGCTGGTGACTGAGAGAACGAATGGAAGAGGTTGTTCGGTTTCAACAAGACGCGCGAATCTGGAAAAGTGTTTGTGGAAGACGAAGCCTTGTGCACGACCGATCCGAGACTTTGGGACGCAGTCGGGGGAGTGAATGCTGTTTGCTTCGAGGCTGTTTGAGGCGGGCTATCCGAGAAAAGGAGGCCTTTGCTACAACTACTCAAACTCCGCACCAAGGCAGGTTTGAACAGCCCATATCCTCTACTAGGCAGTGCATAGTGTGGCAGGCGTACCACAGCCCGTTGGCGGAGTGCATGTAGGCAGCGACCACAGGTGTACTCACCAGTCATTGCTGGTTGGTACAGAGCTAACATGAGCCAGGAAGAAAAGGAAAGAAGAATGAAATATAAGAAGTGGTTGAGTGTCGAGACTCTCCGGCAGTGACGCGAGAAGCAGTTGCAGGACGGAGCTTACTGAACGGTTGCCAAGCATTCACACGTGACATTCGCGGCCCAGCAAAGTGGTGTTGAATAAGTTTTATGCTACAGTCAAGATGCATAGCATCTTCAATCATTCAGCCATTGAGGCATGTATCCTTCCAGTGTGAAATCATAGTTACAGTGGGAATGACCACGCATCAAACACACGCAGTACTCACCCTCAGAAAATATCCTCACAGCCACTCCAATCGTGGGATTCTCGGCACTTCCAATAATTACCGTTGTGTGCCCAGTACTCCTCTCCGGTGATTGGGCACTGGGCTCGCGTGAACCACTTGGGCTGGTACTCTTCCCCGTTGGTCTCGCGCTCTCTGCGCTTGGCTCGTTGCTTTTCTTCCACCCGATGCTTCTCACTGGCCGCCAAATCATATTCACCTTCTTCCATCGCACGCTGGTCAGGTCGAAGCCGTGTGTCCGTAGGAGGAAGGTGCTCCTTGAGACCATTCGGCAGAGCGTTGAGGGTGATAACGAACGGAGTCAGGTTGAACGGAATGCCGCTTGGGCGCGCATGACACTGCCAGACCAAAAGCGTCTTGTTTGATTCGGGATCCTGGCCAGACACCGGCGCCTCAAACCCGGGAGTATGACGCGCATATATTTTGTCATTCCACCGACCGCCAATACTCCATCTCGGGGTTCCATCTCGATCTACTACTTTCCCGGACACCTGATAGGCAGAGGATGCCTTCCATCCCCTGGGTTTAAAATCCAGGTAGCAGATCTCGCCGGTTGTCCAATTTTTGATCTCCATTAACCCGTAGTTGTCGACCGTTGGGTTACCAGTAATGATGCCGATAACAGATGACGTGACTTTCTTCCAAGTGTATAATTCCTCTCCTCCGGATGCCGGCCGCAATCGAAGGAACCATGTCCCTAAGAGATTGATGTCGAAAGATTTCCCGTAGAACTTCGATTTGAGAGCAGACTCGCCCTTATTTTTATGGACCAGTCAGCAAATTGACGGCAGTCACTACATTAGAAAATTCTAAGAATAAGTACTCACATAGTAATCCCATTTGGTTGACTCAGCCCAGGCAGCGCCTATCGGTGGGTGGTGGCTGACCTGCTCAATAAAGAACCGATAACCTTTGTCAGGCCGGACATATTCGAATGTTTCACCAAGGAGGGGGTTGAAAGGCTTTGCCACACGGCCAATGGTCGATGCATATTCGCTTGCAGCATACGCAGCGACGTATAACAACCGCTCCATGGAGTCGGGTCTATCAGCGGCAATGTCCAGGAGGTCCGCATATTCCAGGTCTTCAGCCACTCGCTGAAGCAACGACGTTGGCTCGTTGAAAGAGACTGGAAGGGTCATCTTCGTCATGTCCTTACCAATCATAGACTTTAGAATACCCTATAATTATTGTGAGCGTTCACAAATGTCAGGTTCCTTATGCAGTGGGTTGTTGAGCTGTTACTTACCCAGAGCGAGATTTTCGGCCTGTTGTCATAGTCCATTTTCAGCCGTTCCCTGACGGACTCATCGTACCCTGTGAATGAGGGGATAATTTCCTTCCGCTTGATGGCTCGAAGCTCGCTACCCTCATCTGGAGACTCCCTCCCGTAATCATCTGAAGGTACAGATGACAATTTCTCCACCTCAATCTCCCCTGAATCAATTGCATCAAAGAACTCATCGTCGTCGTCATCGTCGGACCCTGAGTCACAAAGGTTATTGATCTGAGAGAGAGTTGACTGTTTGTGATTGAGCGACTGCCCTGGCTCTTTCTCCGTTAGCCGTGAGCACTTGTCAACCACATCGGATGCATGAGCCTCGACTTTTGCATCATCGGAGTCATCTTTGATGGTTTGTGCATGAGAAGGAGCCCTGCCATCAACATGGCCAGTAGTAGCTGACTCTAATGCTTCCCTGAGTGCCCGTTTGGTGCGCCGTCGTTTCTCCTCCGACTCACCCATTCGCGACTGCAGTTCTTCATGTTCAAGCGCTATCTTAGCCATACTCTCTTCCCACATCTTACGTAAATAGGCCTCACGGTTGAGCCTATATTGCCAATAAGCATCGCGGTCCCTGGAAATTCTCAAGAGATTTTGCACCAAGCCTTGTAAGCTACTCACGGCTGCTCCGTAAGCTACCAGAGCTTGCTCGACGGCCGGATCTGACAGGGTTGTGCTCGGGCTTCTCGATTGTTCCACCTGCATTGAAGCCGCAATGTTGGCAAGGATATCAAGCTGGAGTTTGGTCGACTGTGCGGTGATATTCAGGGCATCTTTATCAGTTGGTGGTATATCGTGGCTGGATGCATAGTCCCCATCATCGTCATCAATGTCATCATCTCCGTCAATGTCGGGCGCAGTAGTTGCATGACTAGCGAGACGGCGGACAGCGTTTGATGGTGCAGTATGATCCAACGAGCCGTACAATGAGCCTTCATCGTCTTCAGGAGCACTTTCTAGCGTTGTACGCGATGCATACGTGCTAAGCCGTGTGCCACTACTGCTTGGTACGGCATTGGATGATGGAGCCAGGGTTCTCCCACTCGATTGATTGTAGGTATTGAAGCCCGGCGAGTCTGACATGCTCTCAGGCGACCGACCCTCAGTCTGTTCGATCTTCGCTTGGCGTAGCACTTCGGCATGCCTTGTCTGGCGCTTCTCTTCTTCTTTTGCTTCGTCCTTTGCCCATTGTATGGCATTGTTGAGCGTCCAGAACCAGCGCTTAGCCTCGACGACATGATTCGCCTTGAGATGGTACTTGACCGATGACTTGCCGTGAATTTCAAAACGAGTCTTGTCCTGCGAATCCATGTTAAGCTTGGCAATTTTCATATTGATAGCACCCCGGCAAGCTGAGCCCGCATCATCTGCCAATACCAAGGAGTAGACATTAGGTTAGCCGATTTCACATGATTGGAAACGAGTGTGTTTGGCTAAATTCACCTTGATGTTTATAGTAGCTCAAGACCCCATCCTCCAATACAAACCACCGTAGCTTATAACCACTGGTGTAATTTGTCCATTTCTTCAGATATCCTCTCATCTCACGAGCTTCTTTGCCAGCGAAGGGAGCTTCGGCTACGCCCACCCGGCCAGAGACGCTCGGGGCCGTTACGCTAGTTCCTAAAATGGCTTTCTCCTGTATACCCCGTTGAGCCATGACAGCGGCCGGGGACTTTTTGACGATCGCACGCGTCTTTTCATCTTTGGTGACGTCTTGTGGGAGCTTTCCCTTTTTGTCGCGGCGGAACGGGTCGGCACCATGCATCAAAAGAATCTGTATCAGCTTCGTATCTCTTCTCCTTGCTCCTTCGTGTAGCAACGTTCCCCCAGATTGAATAGTAGCAGGATCAGTGACTAGATTCAGGCTATCGACATCCATCACACCCTCAACCCGAGGCTCTTCCAAAACCTTCTCAAGTTTCGCATATTCACCTTGGGAGACCAATGTTTGGATCTCCTGGGTTTTACGGTCAATGAAGAGTGACCGCGCTAGCTGAAGTTGCTGGAATATCTCGGGAGTCCTGGCAACGTCAAGAGCCGTTTGACCACCGTAGTTGACAACTGAGTCATTCAGCGAAGGCCGACTCAGCAGATCACGAACTACAGGACCACGTCCTAATTGAGCGGCCAGATGAAGGGGAGTATTGCCATCTCGGTCCTGAGCATTCACATCCAACTCTTCGCCCGTCGATAGTATATACTCCACGACTTGCGGCTCCGCGCACTGAATAGCCAAGTGGAGAACCGTCGTACCTGACAGATTGGTCGCCCCTTGAGGCTCCTTCGTCTCTTTTATGGCTTTAGAGATAGCGATGGTGTCGCCGCTCCGAAGGATCTCGAAAAGGCGGAAAGTTCTCACCGACTGGTCCAGAGACATGCTACTGCCTTCGGCATGGGGCAAAGAGGGAAGCTTCTCGATATTGTCGTCGTCTCGGAGGGAGCTCATCGATTCTCGCGGAGGTTCGCCAGCCATCGAAGGCAACAAGTTCGTCTCTTGATGTGATTTACGGCGGCTGGAGCTTCGCGCGGCTGGTATACCAGGGAAGGAGGACGTGCTGCTGCCGACCGGAGAGGATGTGGAAGGAGGAGGTGACTGGGCGCGATCGCGACTGGCACTGCCCTCACGACCCTCGCGCGACTTGTCTCGGTGCAAGATTGCCAGCGCCAAAGAACTGCGGGAACGTTTATGCCTAAAGGTCGCAAAGGACATCCAGTGTCAGCACGCCCGAATTACGGCGGTCTTTCCGATGGGGATTCAGGGCCCCTGGCCACATAGGCGAGTAAGCCGGCCAACAAGTGTTAAGGGAATGAGGTTTGGCCCCGAACGACTCAGAAATCAATCTCAAGATACACTCACCCTTCACCCTTATCCGTCATCTCTCTCTTCTGCTCGCCGCGGCCACAATCAGTTCCCACGCCGGTTCCTCTAGACACAGGATGTCAAGTACGGTGTCAAGTACAGCGCCAAATGCAGCGGGAATCGCTGGGAACCCTCAGCTGCGAGGTGGGATGAGGAAAGGAAAAGGAGCCGAGGTAAGGAAGGAAAAGGAGGTTGGTTTGGGGTCGGCAAAAGAGGGATGGAGGGGTCGGATCTGGGGAGGCGGCGCGCGTCACGTCACTTCTTGGAGAATCTCCCGACAATTGAGTATAACTGCTCATCGCTTCGCGCGCTTCGACAAACGGGCGCACGGTTGAAGGAAAAGGTAAAATCTATTATACATGGAGTAAAATACATACATAAACCAACAGTCTTAAATGATGGCTGTATAGCCCGAGCTTCACCTAGTCTCTCCACTCACTACAACGATAACACTACCTAGCTGTCGACGAAGGTCTTCCTTGTCGACATCATGGGTATCTTCCACCTCGCCCCACATATCCGTCTGCCACTTAACTTCCATACTGGACGCTTCTGCTGCATCTTCAATCCCAAATCTTTTCTGTCCAGGTCGTTGTAAGCCACGGAAGTTCTCGCTCCACTCAGCGACCAGTCGAACAGCGATCAGAAGACTCTTCGCTGCGAGTATACCTCTCTCAAGCGCAGCCAGATCAAAAG